GTTTTGTTATTCTTTGAATTATAATTTCCCTGACCTGTAGCTTACAAGTTGTTCTGGGATCTGCTATTAGTTTTCTGATAACCAGCACAAGGTTGTAGCTGAGCTGAGAACTAATCTTTAGCAATGTGCTTGCTTCAGCCTTGACTATTTACTTGACATTGTCTGGGAGTGACATTTAAAAATTGAAAGATTGAAGAAGCACATACAAGACACACCCGGGAGCTAGAATTAAGGTCCTGAGCATAGAAAATTACAAACCCTGGACAGACATCTCTGCCTGAAGAGTTGTTGTGACTACCTTAATTTAAACAAAAACAGATGACCTGGGAATGTGGCTCAAACTCAGACCACTGGTATATTGGGCTCAAAACTCCACAACCAAAGCACTTATATCAAAATGTAACATATCTTATTTGATCCCCTGACCTGAACTCACCTGAAGCACACTACAGAGACCAGACTGCCTAGTTCCTTTTACTCTCTCCATAATGCTCTGCCAATACAGGCTTCTGTCACCATGCAAGGATCAACATGATACATAAATGACGCAGAAACTGATATTGGGATTTAAACTTCCAGTAGAATTAGAGAAAAGCAAAGCATATGTTCACTAGCTCTTACCTCAGGCTGAGGCTGATAGGGTTGAGCCTCACATGACCTCTTCACCAAACCTCAAACTGCTGCCTCTCTTTCCTGCCTGGAGAATGAATGCCTGTCTTCAGTTCAGCTGTGGAAGAATGACTGATGCAGAATACTGAAGTCCCTGCTTCTATCTTTTATAGCCCTCTAATGCTGGGATTATAGGCGTCTGATCTGTTACTCTTTTAGATTGATTCACTATCCAATATCCCTGCATGCCCTTGAAATCAGAGAGATCCCTCTATCTCTGAATCCTGAGTCCTAGGATTAAAGTTGTGTACCACCAACATACAGCTGTTCCTGCAGGGATTAAAGGTATGTGCCACCACTCCCTGGCCACTATAGCTTGAGGCTGACTTTGCTTTTCTGAATTAGAAGTCAAGCTTTAGTAGACCAGAAATAGTGTATCACTACAGCCAGGTATCTATGCAGTGTTTAATAGCCAAATACACTAGCCAGGCATCATAGCTAAAAGAGAATCACAACATTCTCATTGATAGGCAAGTGCATGATAAAGAAGAGCTAGCCTGAGTTGGGTGGAGGTGGCCCACGCCTTTAGTCCAAGCACTTGCAAAGCAGAGGCAGTCAGATGTCTGTGAGATTGAGACTAGCCTGGTCTAAAAGAGCTAGTTCAAGGACAGCCTCCAAAGCCACAGAGAAAACAAGTCTTTAAAAAACAAAAAAAAAAAAAAGGAGGGGCTAGCCTGGACTGAAAGACCCCCAGAGCCCTAAGGGTCTCGGGATACTGAGGAGCCCCCGAGACTCAGAAACCAGACCAAGAGCTGCAAAAACAAGAGGCTTTACTGAACAAATGCCCATTCGGGTGTCAGCAATATCGGGAAAGCTGCACACCCCAGCATTAGGTGCAAGCTCCTTATGTAGGAAAAAAATCGCTGATCAGCATATAGGCAAGGGGCACAAAGTGATTGATTACAAAGTATGATCTCATGTTAGAGTGGTCACCCAGGTGTGACCTGCTTTTCTACAAAGGAAAAACCACAGAACGTACCCTGAAAAGTCCTTGATTGTCTGTTGGCCAGCCAGGTGTGCCCCAAAGAGGGTT